TATATATATATATATATATATATATATATATGAGACATATTCCTAAGAAAACCTGATAGTACAAGTACAAGGAATATCCACTAGAATATTCTCTTATAATACACAATCTTGACAAACTAGCCGTTATAGCTCTCATCAATGATATTCAACCTTGATCTCGACCCTTGTTATCATCTCGACTACGGCTTTCGTCGACATCTCGACTACGACTCATGTCGCCACTCCAGCCAAGGACTTTGCTGCTCCTTGGCCCATCTCGACCTACGACGACTCAGGAGTTCCTTTTTTAGTATTATCTTGCCTCAATATTATAAAGGCGGATTTCGATCATACAGTTAGCCCCTCCGCTTATTGAGATCGTTCCCCCGTATGGGTTCGATAAGCGGACAATGTCATGGAGAGTTGGCGAGGCTCGTGGTTGTGGAGATGGGACCTACCTTTTGTGGTTCGCATATTTTGAATTTATCAAATTGCCCGAGAAATTATTTGGAGTTATCTGGGCCACGAATAGAAGTGACGTCACGGCCCCGTGCGTCATAATGATGTCGTTTCCCGATGCATTGCATAGATTCGGTTGGAGCTCTTGATTGGCTCTATCAGTTCGAGTTTCGTGCTAATTATGTTTCATACGATTTCGATTCGGGTGCCTTCCAAACTTATAAATAGGGGAAGCTTTTCCAATTTTTGGAACTTTTCAAATTCCTTCTTCTCCGCTATCACTAGCTTGCTTGATTCACTTTGTAGATCACTCCTTTTCTTCTATTTCCAGGGCTTATCATGTCATTCGTTCTTATTTTTCTTCTTTTGAAACCCCATTCTCTTATAAAAAAACGATGTCTAACATACCTTCTGAGTCCGGTGAGGGGAGTTTTGTCCCCCCTTGGCAGTAGCTCCCCATGAGGAGGGTGTTCCTACTGCCGTTGACGATGGAGCCTTCCTGTTGGTGGAAAAGATAATTCCACGAAACCCTGATTCCCGGTCCGATTGTACCAAGTCCCTTGACGCCGATCCTGGGGATTTTTGATTGGTGATGACGGTGAAAGAATTGTAAGAGCTCAGGGCAAAATTCAATATTCCCAATTATGTCGAGTTGATTCCAGCGAGGTGAAATGTTGTGACGACTCACCATCCGAGGTATTGCGCCTTCTACGCCTACCCATTCTAAGTTTGCTACACTCTTTATATTCTTCCGTTGGCGAAGGAGATCTACCATTATTACAATATTTGCCCGATTCAGCTCGCACCATATGTTTGCAACCTTATTCGGATGCTCACCAAATTTTCCGAGCTGGGCGGGGTCAAACTGACGCTTCATCATTTGATACATCACTTTGCCCCTAGGTTTTATAGGGGGACGATGGTAAATCTTCGCCATCGAGTGGGTAAATGTTTGGTGGTAAAGATGGACGACAAGGCCAGCCGCCAATTCTGGTTTAATTTCTTCTTCGTCAAGACTGAAGGCGTGGTGGCCAATGCCGACAGTTTTCCCGAGACTTGGAACTATACTCGTAAGTATTCCATCTTCCTATAGATACTTGATTGATTTTTTGTTTATGCCCGACTGGGGGTTTTGACTTTATGTTCCTTAATTGTGTAGCCAAGAATACACCTTCTCCTTTGGTCGCCGACATTTCTGATTGGGTTGGTCGACTTCTTCCTCATATTGCAGGGATTCGCGAGTGGTCGGGTTTTTTAAGAGGTTTGGACCCGCTCCCCTCTCGACTTGTAAGTTCCTCTTATTATTGGCATCTTGGGTTTCTTTTTCTTTTGTTCATTTTTGTTTACTTTTCTCTCTCCTCGTATTCTTCTCAGCTTCGACTAGGGGATCGTCAAGGAGGTTCAGAGCTCCCGCACCTGCTTTTT